TGAAAAAGCCTTGTCAGGTAAGATTAAAGAGCCAAATTGGGGTGACAAGAGGGGGAGAGAAAACATGGGAAAAAGGAAAACTAGAGAAAATTCTGAAAAATTCTGATTCAATTGATGTGCGCTTTCTTTCGCTCAGGCCTCCTGGGGTTTGTAAGTAGCTGCCCTGGGCTCCTCCTGCTCCCACCTTGGGGCAGGGGCTGAGGGGCAGGCAGCTGACCAAACACCACCAGTGGGCACTCAGGAGACATCAAGACACCGGAAGAACACCAAAACTAAGACCTAGTGAAACCAGGCATAACAGCAGCCAAGACAACAGCTGTTTGGCCCCTTCCCACATCTCCTGAATTAGCTGGATGAGCACAGAAGAATCCAGGATCCAGAGGAGTCAAACTTTATATTTAAACCATTAAAACCAATTCATTCATATCAAATTCTGAAGGTCACAAAAACTCATGACCAGGAGACCAGCGTTCTGATGGAGACATTTTGTTGACCCTGTTGTCGTGGACTGAATCGTGTCCCCAAAAATATGTGTTGATTCTCTGGCCCTTGTGCCTGTGGATGTGACCCTGTTTGGAAATAAGGGGTTTTCTTTTGTTGTGTTAATGAGGTCATACCAGGGTAGGGTGGATTCTAAACCTGAGTTTATAAAAAGATCAGAACAGACACACACATACACACACGTATGCACACGTATGCACACACGGGGGGGAGACAGATGCCATGTGAGGATGGCCAGGGAACAAGGAAGGCCCGGGCTACCGACAAAGGATCAACACAACTGGGACCCTGATTTTGAACTTTTGGCCTCCAGAACTGTGAACAAATAAATTTCTGTTCTTGAGAGCCACCCACTTGTGGTATTGTATTACAGCAGCCACGAGGAAACCTGTTAATAAAAATGAGTTAAAAAAACAACTATCAGTGGCCAAAAACAAGGTATCTCAAAGGCGCATTTCGAAAGACGCAGACAGTGCTGGTTCTTTCCTCTTTCACCTAAGAGAAAGCTCAGAACAAGGCCTTCCTGGCAGGCAAGGAGAGCCATGGTCAGGCTCCTCCACTCCCTGGGGAAAGGCAGCTTCACTATCCTCAGAACCTCAGTGAGCCTGTTCAGATGGTCTTCTGATTCTTATCGCACCCCTGGGTGAGGTGGGCCCAAGAAGTCTGCTTCTCACAACATTACAGGACGGGGCGGAACTTACCCACCAGTGTTGCGGAAAGCCCTTACCAGGCCTCACATCTACCCACCCTGTCCATCTCCACTCCAGGGACCAAAGGAGAGGCTGACTCTGTGTCCCTTCCTCTCCAGCAGTACCTACTGCCGTTCGTAAACAGTTATCGCCTCTCTGTTCCAAATCACATTCCGCTTCCTCTGCCTGGTCTCTTTCAGCAGACCTGAGAGGAGCTAATTCCTGCCTCTCAGATGCCAGCCCTCCTCTCTCCAGAGGATGAAAAGACATCACCTCCCTACAAGGCTGCTTCAAGGACAAGACAGATGAGGTTAGAGGGGCCTCTGCTGTCCAACCTTCTGCAGCGAGCAGCAGGTACACAGCCCTGCCCCCAAGGAGGCCACTCTAACTGCAGGCTCAGGCAGCACCAGCCCCCAAAGCCCTCCTCACCCCCAGCTGAGCACAGAAGCCTTTCTTTGCCTCGTCGGTGGTGTCACATGTGGTCTAATAAAGAACCAGGCTCCTGGCATCATCTTTGGCCTCCTGAATATGTCAGCTGTGGCTCTAAGTGTGGCTGCACAATGCCACCATAGGAAGCCTGTGGGGGCTGGGGAGGGACACACCACTGGTCTTGGGCAACATACGTAGGGACCTCAGTGTTCTCCCGCTGTGCCTGGGGGAGACTGTTCAGCCCAAATTCCTGCCCCCTCCCTAAGACAGCCCTGGGCCTTTCTGAGCTCTGGATCTTCTTTTACTAGACTCTAAGTAGTACTTGGAAACCCTGGTGGCATAGTGGTTAAGAGCTACGGCTGCTAACCAAAAGGTCGGCAGTTCGAATCCACCAGGCCTCCTTGGAAACCCGATGGGGGCAGTTCTACTCCGTCCTATAGGGTTGCTATCAGTCAGTCAGTCAGTCAGAATCGACTTGACGGCAGCAGGTAAGTAGTAGTTTGTTTGGAAGAAGGTTAAGATGAAGCTCTCTTCTCCTGAAGAAAACAGGCTTCCTGGAGCATCCAGAAGTCAGACAAGGCAGGGACATGTCTCTAGACCTTTCATCAACTACATCAACCAGCACGTAGCAAGTCAAGCATGCCAGTCCCATGAGGCTTTGGGAAAGGGCAACATGAGCCCATTTGGGGAAATGCTAAATCCAGCTGAAGGTTCACAGCCACTTACACTATTTTGAAGCCAAACATACGTGTGTCCGGCTGCATGAAGAATTACAGTCAGCATCATCTATCACGTTCAGAGAAACTGCTCCCTGTAGGCTGTTTCTCAATGACTCAGGGGCACAGAAAGCTTTGTCACAGGCTTTGCCTCTTGCTCATGTTAGTTTTAAACTCCCATTCTCCCTCAGCAGTTCAAGGAGAAGTATTTCAGGCCTGTGGCACTGGGAAGGAAGCTGCGGAAGGAGAACAGCAGCCCAGGGTGGAAACCCCTGGCCTGTCACCCAGAATACCTACTAATCTGTATCCTTTTCACCAGGATCAAGAAAACCAAGTGAGTGGGCCCTTCCTTTGGTGGTCTCAGAAAGGGCACACATCAGATCCCCTCCCCCAGAACTCTGGAGCCCCACGTGACCTCAGGAGGCCCAAGGCCATCATGCACAGCCCCACAGGCTGTGCACTGCACAACTCCAGGAAGCACCATCCCAAAGACAGTAGTGTGAATGGTGCCCCCCGCTGTTGTACAGCGTGGATGTCTCAGGCAGCCCCTTCCCTAGGACCCGGGATCACACCCTGAGATCACCCACCATCCACTGGAACCAGCAGAAACATGTTTTTAATTTTTTAAAGAACCGATTAAGTGACTTCTGAAAGGATTTCTTACAGGCTGATTTGGATCTCCAGACTCTACAGATTCAGTAGAGAGGGCAAAAAGGAAAGGCAGGCCTTTAGCTAATTTCTTGGAGGAAAATACTCTGAATTACTATTTTGTTCCCTTTTGTCCTTTTCAGGTCAGTTAGGCGTTGGCTTATAAATTTCCAAGCTTTCGTTTTTCATGAGCTGACCCAGAAAATGTGTTCCCTGCCTGGGTTTAGCTCTAGGAGCATCAAGTCCACTAGGGGGCAGGAGGCTCAAGGCCACAAACAGCAGGCAACCAAAAGGGTCTCTGGCTTCAGAGGTAGCATCAATTCAACACGGATTTGACTTCAAGTCATTTGCGTGTCAGGCTTTCTATTTACAGAAGTATGTGGCCATCTTTAATTCTCAGATCCCCCAGGACTTGAGCCACTGTGGCTGGTGCACTGAAAAGGGAGAGACTGCTGACATTAACTCCTGACATTGCTATTCCAGCCCCACAAGCAGCCTCAAGGAGTTATCACGACCAGAAGTGCAGCCCCCACCCCCTCTATGTCACCTCTCCGTCCAGGGTCTTAACTGTGGCTGCTGAAGCCCGTGTCAGCTTACCCACCCATCTTGCAGCAAACAGCCCTACGTTAGTTTTCCAGCCACTCATGTTTTAGACATAGGCATGCGGGGGTGTGGCACAAAGGACCCAGCAGGCTGGTATTGAGGGATGCTGGGGACACAGGACTGGGCATCCCAGGAGAAGCCCAGGGGTCATGCCTGGAGGAAGGAGCCCTTGTGGTGCAAAGGGTTAAGCGCTAACGGAAAAGTTGGCAGTTCAGTTCAAACCCACCCAGTGGCTCTGTGGAAGAAAAGACCTGGCAATCTGCTTCCGTAAAGATTACAGCTAGAAGACCCTATGGGGCAGTTCTACTCTGTCGCATGGGGTCACTATGAGTTGAAAACAACTCCACAGCCACGACAACCCAACAACAACATGTGTGGAGGAGGGGGACGTAAACAGGAACATTCTGCTGACCCCTAGGAGACTCCGTAGTTAGGCAGGACCAGGGGTAACCAAGTGCCACTGAGTCACGCAGCTGTCCCTATCATTTCTGATTCTAAGCAATGTGACGGGAGAGGAGGTCATGGGGGCTGGCAAAGAGCCAACAACAACGGCATAAAACCCAGCAAGTCAAGTATCGGGTAAAATCAGACACGGTCTTCTTCCTGCTCACGTGCTGGCTGCCCAAGTCCCAGCATGGTTTGGGCTGTTCATCGGCTCTTCCCTCTGGGACTCTAAACCAAGCCAGTCCCTGGGGCTCAGTGGGGACCAACCCTGGAGAACCAACCAGTCCCTCTGGAAAGCCAAGGCCATAGTTAACACCTTCACGGATTATCTGAACCAGCAAACCTTAGGCAAGATAGAGGAGGAGCAGCTATGCCTGTCACTGGGCCACTACCGTCCATGAGTGTGGCTTGGCACAGGCCCAGCCAACGTGTGACTTTCAGTGTTTTTAGGCAACATGCCTGTGAGTCTGTCACCTCTGCTTAGGCAAAACCACCACACACAGAGCTCGCCAGAGCCCATGGGGAGACTGGGTCAGATGGACAAGGGGGGATGTGCAGGACACTCTTGCACCCCACCTACCGGCAGACACCCACATGGGCAGGTGCCCATAAGCATGCAACGCCCCACAGGCAGACTCCCGTAAGTGTGCAGACACCCACACGGGCAGATGCCCACACCGGTAGATGCCTACACCAGAAGACACCCACAGGTGGGCAGATACCCACACTGATAGACGTCTACACTGGCAGACACCCAAGGTGTGCAAACACCCAGAGGTGCACAGATACACAGACACGTGCAGGCAGTAGCAGGCGCACAGGCGCAGACATGTCCCCCCACCCCCAACACACGAGGCTGTGACTCATACCCTCTGAGTGGCGTGATTCAGCATCTCCTGCCAGGCTGAGTCGAACTGCCGCTTGTCATCCTCCAGCAGCCGCTGCTCGGCCAGGGAGATGGTCTCCTTGGCGGCACGGAGTACCTCAGTGGCCCTCTGGAAGTCCTGCGTGGCTTTCTGAGCTTCCAGCTGAGCCTGGGTGAGAAACAACGGCTGTGAGGCCTTGGGGAATGGCAGGGGCTCCCCATGGCCATCACCACCCAAAAGATGAGCTCCTCAAGGCCCACGACATGCCCCGTCCACCTCAGGCCTGACAGCAGTAGGTTCTTGCAATTGCTGGGTGGATCAATAGACCATTTCCACGATCTGGGACCCAGTGGACTAGGTAGGCATGCCAGACCTCAGTCAGGTGCAAAGATGGCAACCTGCCCTTGCGAGACAGGTATGGCCAACCTCGGCCTTTCACAGAGCAGTTCTCACTTGCTCACGACGAGGCCAGTGGTGCCCAGCACTTCCCTGCCCAGATCCACAGGTCAGCTCATGACGTGTCAGAACCAGAAAGGCTCCCGAGATGATGGTCTAGCAGCCCCATTCTAACCATGGCTCTGGGAAACCACAGGACCACGGGACCAACTCAAAATAGCACAGCTGGTTCGAATCAGACCAGACTCCAGGTCCTGCGAGTCCCAACCCAGGGCACTCACCCTGCCAGACGGGCCCCACTCAACTCGCTCTCGCCAAAACCAGCAATGGGCCAAGCATGCCGCCAGGCAGGCAGCGGGAAGGACCCAACAACACAGCCCCTGCTTTCAGAAGCGTCAGGTGGGAGAAAACATCAGTCGTAGTTGACCACACGTCTACACCTGCACTAATACTGCAGCCACACATGGCTATCGAGCATCTGAAACGTGACTACCCAAACTGAGAGTGCTGTAAGTGTAAAACACACCACACTTTAAAGACTAAAGTACAGAAAACAATACAAAATACCTCATTAATCGTTTTTATATTGATTACAGGATAAAATGATCATGTTTTGGAGATATCGGGTTTAACAGTTGCTGTCCAGTTGATTGCAACTCATGCTAGACTCCATGTCTGTCAGAGCAGAGCTGTGCTCCACTGGGTTGTCAAGGAGAAAAATCAGTGACAGGCATCTTACTTTGATTTTAAGGTCTTTCTTACCCACGAAACCAAATATTAACCACATTAACCGTAAACATTTCTGACCAAAACTTAATCCTGCTAGTGCTTTTTTCACCCAAAGTTGCTAATCTTTTCTTTCTTGTTTGAAGCTAGACTTGCTTAATTTACATTTCAAAGGTATCATGGCTGGAGGTGAGTGGACGGCCAGAGACTACCTTGTGACCTGGTATCAGTTGATCTCAGTAAAAGGGGGAGGGCAGGGTTCAATCAATCATGTTAAAACTGGTGAATGGTTGACTTTCTCTTCTCCTCCCTCCTCTTCTCTTCACAGACCTCATTGTAACTAGCCGACTTGGAGCCGTTTGGTTTTTTTTGGAATCAGGATGATCTCCTTATACGTACATAGAACAACTGCTCAGAATAAACTTTATGTTTCAATTTCTTTGAGTTTGATTATTTTTAACAGGGTTTTCAATGGCTGATATTTCTGAAGTAGATTGCCAAGCCTTTCTTCCAAGGCACCTCTGAATGAACTGGAACTTCCAACCTTTCGGTTTGCATCAGAGCGAGTTAAGGGTTTGCCACTCAGGGATTCCATATTGGGTTAAATAAAGTATACTATTTAAATTAATTTCATCTGTTCCCTTTTAGTCCTTTTAATGTGGCACAGTGGTTAAGAGCTTTGGCTGCTAACCAAAACATCGGCAGTTTGAATCCACCAGCTGCTCCTTGGAAACCCTATGGGGCAGTTCTACTCTGTCCTACAGGGCCGCTATGAGTCAACAGCAACGGGTTTGGTTTGGACTAGACAATTGAAAATTACATATGTGGCTCACACTGTATTTCTTTTAGACAGTAGACATACCCCCACAAGAGTGGGCTGGCCATGTGACAGCATCAGAAATCGGCAACAAGACACTGCTTGCTGTCACCACTCTCAGGGCAGGTCCACGTTGAATTCCCGAGCCGATGATTAACAAGTCATTTCTAAATGCTGGCCCCCAGCAACAGCCCTAGGTTGACTAGACTTATTAAGTCAGTTACATAGGCACCCACGGGGCAGCCCCTCTGACTCAGGAGGGGAGGAACAACAGGGACCCACACCCATCACCAGAGCAATTCTCACATGACTTAGAGGAAGTCCTCAGAAACCACAGGCTGAGGACACTTCGAGAAGACGCAAAAGGGGAAAATTCCAGATTTGGAGCACACAAGCCCCCCGGGCAAGGAACAGCCTTTCAATCACATGGTAGCCACTTCCTATCTTTCAGAAGACCAAAGAAGAAATGATGCTTTTGAATGATGGTGCTGATGAAGAATATTGACTATACCATGGACTGCCAGAAGAACAAACAAATCGGTCTCAGAAGTACAGCCAGAACGTTCCTTAGAAGTGAGGATGGTGAGACTTCGTCTCATGTACTTTGGACATGTTATCAGGAGGGACCAGTCCCTGGAGAAGGACATCATGCTTGGGAAAGTAGAGGGTCAGCAAAAAAGAGGAAGACCCTCAAGGAGATGGATTGACACAGTAGCTGCAACAACAGGCTCAAACATAGCAATGACTGTGGGGATGGCACAGGACCGGGCAGTGTTTCATTCTATTGTACACAGAGTTGCTATGAGTCGGCACCTAACAACAATAACATCTTTCCGTGAAGGCAGACTGCAGACCAGACCTAGACCCTACCACCCCTGAGGTGATGGCCACCTGGTCAGGGAGATCAAGCTCCAAAAAGACTGAAATCCTTGACAACTTCAACTTCTTTGCCATGTTCTGTGGTTACCCGTAAGTTTTTCATTGGCTAATTTTTGGACGCAGATCGCCAGACCTTCTTCCTAGTCTGTCTCAACTGGACGCTCTGCTGAAACTTGGTGACCATGGGTGACCCTGCTGGTAACTGACATACAGGTGGCATAGCAACACACCAGTCACAATGGGAGGGCTCTGTCAGTTTGTACTGACAAGACAGGTGGTGGAAGCAGGCAGTACACATTTAGAAATCTGTAATGCAAAGCTGTATGCCTAAGGGCCATAAAACCTGTTGCCGTGGAGTTTGATTCTGACTCATAGTGACCCCACAGGACAGAGGAGAACTGCCCCACAAGGTTTCCAAGACTATAATCTTTATGGAAACAGACTGCCACATCTTTCTCTCGAGGAGCAGCTGCTAGGTTTGAACTGCCGACCTTTCGGTTAGCAGCCAAGCACTCACCCAATGCACCACCAGGACTCCTTCCTAAGAACCATAAAATAAAAAACAAAACAAAAAACCCACCGCCATTGAGTTAGAGGAGATACGGTAAGGGGATTTGAGAGAGAAATTGCCTCCAGTAGAGAGCATCGAGGAAGCTTCTTAAAGGAGGTTGATCCTGAACTGAGGACTGAAGGATGGGAGTGAAGTGAAAATGAGGTGTTGATGGGCGGTGAGGGGCAAGGAACAGGAGGAAGCATTTGAGGCTATGAAGACAGTAGTATGAAGCTAACATCTATAGGAGACTTGACAAAAGCTTGGATCAAATCTGTAAAAGAACTCACGGGTGGAAGCCTTGAAAGTCAGGCTAAAGCTTCAATCCGAGTGGCCCAGGGACCTCCCTGCTGTGGCCTCACAGCCACTCACCTAAGGTGTGCTACAGCCATACAATGGGCACAATGACAATGACGCCTGCCCTCTAGAGAAACGACTACCCACTGAGAAGAAAGAAGAGCATAATGTGCTCTCAGCATCCTAACTTGTACTGTACCCCACTATGCCCCCAGGCCCATGGGTGGTCCTTTCCTGTGAGAACAGCTCTTCTGGAGCCGAGATCTGCCTGGACAAGCTGCAGGGCAAGGGTGGAAGCAGGAAGACCTGTCACTTTCAAAGCTGCTCCCACTCTCCACCCAGATTATCTACAGGTTCCTAACCAACTCCAGGAGACTATTGTTAATCCCACAGGATCACAACATTTTCTACCATAAAAAAAAAAACCCATTGCCATCGAGTCGATTCAGACTCATAGCGACCCTACAGGACAGAGTAGAACTGCCCCATAGAGTTTCCAAGAAGCACCTGGTGGATTTGAACCGCCGGCCTTTTGGTTAGCAGCCGCAGCACTTAACCACTACACCACCAGAGTTTCCATTTTTAGGACTGATTGATTGATTTACTTATTTACTTATGCTAGGAATTTTTAGTATTTCAATTCAGCAACATTTAAGGAAGGACTGCGTGAATTGTGAACCTTTTCTTTCTTCAAACAATAAAGGATACATTCTCACGCAGGCTTGAACATGGCTGCCGTACCACGGGCCCAGTACCTCTTCACACCCCCTAACCTGCACCTGATGAGTTCAGAATAAGGGACCAGATGTCAACAGAGAAGAAAAAGAGGCAGCCCATTCAGAAGAACATGCTCTCTGTCACATCCCTGGTGAATTTCAGAAGTTTCAGCAGATCCTTCCACCCAGTACGGTGGCTTTGACAGTGTGCTGGCCTTGTCAGACCACACATCCTACTAACGAGAGGTTTCGTCTATACTTAACCCACAGAAACCAGATGGCATCTCTCCATCAGCCACCCACTTATTCATTCAGTACATGCTGGGCATCTGTTCTGCATGCAGTGTCTGATCTCTCCACTTTTCTTGGTAAGAGAGCCTTTATGTCTCAGGGTGAAGCAATGCGCCACTAAAGACCCTACCTTCCCACCCCCACTACAGCTAGTACCCCCTCCCCCAACCCCAACTGAATTCTAGCTAATGACATGTAAATGGACACTGAGTGAGACTTCCAGAAGGGCCACTTGGTCCTTCCACCCTTCTTCCTTCCTGCTCCCTGCAATATGAATATAATGGCTGGTACTCCAGCAGCTGTTTTAGATCATGAGGCAACCCTCTAAGGATGACGGTCCCTGCCTTGAACTGCTTACCTCCTGACTTTTTACAGGACAGAAAAATAAACTGTCCTGTTTCAGCCAGTGTTATTTGGGGATTTCCTGTTACAATCAGACAAATATAAACGTAAATGATAACACATCTTCCCCTCGACAGCAAACCTGAGAGAAGTA